CATTGAATGACGCGATCCTTATGTATAAAATTGTTGTCAGATGGATTTGGTGTATTTTTAGAGCAGCAGGTACTTTCGAAAAATTCAAGTTTTCATCATCAGGCTGTTTTTTTTACAACAAAGTGCACGTGTTGATAGCCGTGCTCACCTACGTGAAGGGATATAGCATTTTTTTTAAATAATTCCCTTGACTGGCCTCTCTTGCTTCGGGTTGCAGCCAATCTAGGTGAAATAGAACTTTTAATTAAAAACTGGACAGAAGGCAACAGGAAACCACTCCACTACCTTTCAAAGAGCAGTCATGGCAATTCATATATATATATATATATATATATATATATATATATATATATATATATATATATATACAAATAATGGCAGTCATGGCAATTCACATATATATATATATATATATATATATATATATACATACAAATAATTTGTAGAGAGACATGGTCTTGAAATAAACATAGCATAAAGATATACAAAGGGTACAAGAAAAAAAAAAGAAATAGACTTTATATTAAAGAAAATCTAATAACAAGGTTACGAAAGGGAAAAAGCCGTTTCTTCGTCCAACATTGCCAGCGTTAAGGTTAAAGTTAACCATAACACTGCTCAGAACACGGACCTAACAGATAATGAATGCAAGCGGCCGACAAACAACGATTCTATGCCTAAAAATGCTCCAAAGATGACTGTCGTGGCTGCTTTTAATCAATATTTAATGAACATGCTTCACGTACGTATATAAATTTCTACAAGGGGGTGTTTGAAAAATCCAGCCACTGACCCGATTCTCCGATGTTAGTTCATTGAAATACTCATGTTGGCAAGTGGGTTGGACCGAAAAAGTTTCAGCATCCTTGTATATACATATGTATATATAAGTATCTAATATATATATATATATATATATATATATATATATATATATATATATATATGTGTGTGTGTGTGTGTGTGTGTGTGTGTGTGTGTGTATGTAATCTAATAAAAAAATATATATATGTAAATATATATATGTGTGTGTGTTTACATATACATATATATGTATACAAATATGTATACATAAATGTATACACACACACACGCACACATATATATATATATATATATATATATATATATATATATATATATATATATATATGTTTCATAAAAACGACAGACAAGGTACTACGGTTAAGCTTTTTATTTAATTTTCTTGTGTTCGAACAATATTTATACATATATAAATATAAATAAATATATATATATATATATATATATATATATATATATATATATATGTATACATGTATATATATATATATATATATATATATATATATGTATACATATATATATACATACATATATACATACACATAATATGTATACATATATACATGTATATATATATATATGTATACATATATATATATATATATATATATATATATATACATATATGTATACATATATACATACATATATATATACATATATGTATACATATATGCTTACAGATATATGTGCCTATATACATACATATAGATATATACCTATATACATACATATGTGTATACATATAAACATATATATGTATACATAGATATATATGTATATATATATGTATACATATATACATTTATACGTATATATATGTATGCATATATATATATGTATATATATATGTATACATATATACATTTATACATATATATATATGTATGCATATATATATATATATATGTATCCATATATACATTTATACAATTATGTATATGTATATGTATACATATACATCCATATATATATGTATACATATACATCCATATATATATATATATATATATATATATATAGATCCATATATATATTTATGTATACATATACATATATATACCAATATATATATATATGTATATATATATGTATATATACATATATGTATACATATATATACGCATATATATACATGTATATATACATATATGTGTGTGTGTGTGTGTGCTTGCGTATGTATGTATACAAATATAATGATTGTAAGAAAGATATAATCTCCAAATGATAGAAAATCTTGTAAAGTTATTGAAGTATACGAAGACAAAATTGGAAATTTCGAATAAAACGCGCCATAAGATCACAGACGGTAAAAATTGAAAAGCATTGGCAAGACAAATCAAGAAAAATCACAAGAAAAATAAAACTGGCTTGAAGAATGTGACCAAAATAAATCTGAAAATAAGGAAAAGGGTAATAATTCGGAAAAGTCGATGAAACATCAAGAAAACATTCGTTACAAATGTAATAGAGAAAAGACACACAATAGTAAGGGACATTAATGGTAATTTTCTAAGCGTAGCTTAGAGGTGGCACGAGGCCGAAAATATGGCGCACCCAGTGACGATCGAACTCATTACTCAGCCGTAACTTTTTTTTACCGAGACAAGCTTGTTAACCATTACACCACGCCGAGTTGCCCCAATATTAGGAACATTTATGTTTTCCACTGATATAAATTGAAACTATTATATTGAATCAATTTCTATGTTTGATTAGCGTCCGGTTCATACACCTCCCCGGTCTTTTGAACAGGTGTAAATCTTTGTCCCTCGTTTCCTGTTTAGAATTGGGTTTCCGGTACTTTCTAAAGTCTTTTCCTTCTCTTTCACTTCCGGTGGCTCCTTGCGTCTTGGTGACATTATCACCTTACTTAGTGTGTTGCCTCTTACTCTGTAACCCTTGAGTAGCTCTTGAACCTTGTACAAGATGTTGGATCACTGTGTTGTGCTAAACAGTTCTCTTCACTCAAATGTGTTTTGCTTATTTCTTAGTCTACCATTAGTCCATGCATTGAATATTGTTATATCTTGCCTGATGTTTCGGCTATGGCAGTGGTTCTCAACCTTTTTTTTGCCCAATGCACCTTTGTTACCAAAAGTCAGAATATCAATCCCCGCTTTCCAAGACTGTCCGACTCAAAAAATGCATCCCAAATAATAATAATTATTGAAAACCTTCTTTCTTTTCCATCTCAGTGCATACCCTTGGGAAAGGTATGAATTCAGTTTCTTCGCCATCCCACAGGGCCATTGGTTAAATAATAGAGCAGACTGGGTTCTATAGCCTTACTTGGCACCCAGTATACTGTAGGAAAAATGGCCCCAGACTGCGGAAATGAATCGAAAGTGACACGATCGCCCAAACCTGTATCACGTATGGCACTTAACTGAAAGAGTCAACACTTATTTAGGTGAGGAAGTTGTGGAGAGATATGAACGCCCAATCGTGTATCGCGTATGGCACTTAATTGACTGACTGAAATATACATTTACAAGGAGTATTTTTATAGAGAAGTTTTACAAATGTAATGGCAATAAAAAAATGTTGACGGATTTTTAAACTTGAATACATGTGCGGTAATTCATAACTAATTATTAATCAAATAAATTGAAGCATACGTCAATAAACAAAAAGTTCAATAGAACACCAGGGTATTTTAATTCAATAAACGAAATTTTGTAAATAAAAAAACAAAAAAAAAGATTTTTCCTTTCCCCGTTAAAATACTGATACACCCTTCCAGTTAAGAACCACTGTAAAATGAAAATAAAAAAAAATCTGCAGTGTTATTGACTCAGACCTGGCATCTCGTCTTCATTCATGTTCTCACCACTGTTACTTAGCCTCCCTTTTCCTTTTCTATAAATATTTTCATGGCAATTGTTCTGATGAGCTTTCCTCTTTGGTACCTAGACTTTATGAATTTAAGCCATAATATAGCTTCCCTCTGCCTTTTCTATAAATATTTTCATGGCAATTGTTCTGATGAGCTTTCCTCTTTGGTACCTAGACTTTATGAATTTAAGCCATAATCTAGCTTCCCTCCGCCTTTTCTATAAATATTTCCATGCCAATTGTTCTGATGAGCTTTCATCTTCAGTATCTCGACTTCGTGAATTTTAGCGTAATACTAGATTGCTATCAGTTATGTCGCATGATTTTACTGTTGAAATTGATAGATGTAACCGTAAGTTCTATTCTAATAGTCTCTTCTCATTCACTTCTCGCACTGTGGGACTCTATTACATTTTGTTTTCCTGTCAACTACGATCTTCAAAAATTTAAATGAAATCTCAATTGTCATCTCCCATTCCCTTGAATCCCGTTTCTTTTTATTGCCCTTTCTCATCAGTAACGTTTTCTCAGTTTCCTTCACTGTCAGTAACTCCGCTGAGTTTTAGTGGCTTTATCTCCTTGCTCGGGGTGAAATGATTAAAAGATATGAAAAAAACCAAACTACCACTTTTAAGTAAACATCAAAAAGAGAAATGTGTAAGTTATGCGAAGTGCATGATAACTGATTTCTCGGCAGTCATTTTTAATGATGAATGTAGAGCTAAATTGGATGGATCTCAGGGTTGAGTCTTTTATAAAACATAATCAACCAACACGTCAAAGAGACCTGATGTTACGTTTTTTTTTTTTTTTTTTTTTTTTGTTCGTATCGTAGGAAGCAAAGTTTAAATTTAGTGATGGTTTTAAAATTAGTGCAGGGAATGTTTTCTTTTTATCATATTCTCTAACACTCTGTAACCACTTGCATCTTAATGGCTATATTGCCTTGCTTGGAGTGAAAGTTTTTTGTTTTTTGTTTTTTAAAAATGAATTGTTGTAAGCGTATATACATGCACTACAATGTTCTTCCATATATTGCAAGGCTGGTTGTTGTTCAACTTGTCAGAAACAAGCTACAAAGGCACCAAATTAATGAAATGAAATTCAGAAAAAAATCCAATAGAAACCTTGCGCTCTACCATTAAAAAAGCATTGGCGAAACATCATTCAAGCAACGAATATCTCTGGAAATTAATAATAATGGCTACAAGCAATATTAAAATTGAGACAGCGGAAAAGTTAACAAAATCAATGTCTGAAAGACTGATGAAGAATCTAGAATGTTAAAGAGGCCATATTAGATTGTAAACGAATAAAAATAGTATTTTATTCAAACGGCCATATCATGTTGAAACACCGGTTCTCGTCCGATCACTGAAATTAAGTAACGTTGAAGTACCTAGATGGGTAACCACGTGCGAATACCTGATGCTGTAAGCTTGGATGTGCGGGTGGCGTAATAGATAACAGCTCGGAATGACTCGTTGCATTCACTTGCGAGCAAACATCCTTGGGGAAAATATGTTTTCATCCCTTATCCCTCTCCATCTATGGGTTAAATAGCAGGAAGGACTGGGTTCTAGTGTCTTGATTGGCAACTAGTCTACCGCAGAAACTGCGTGAATTCTTCTACCAAGTCGATCATGAATCGAAAAGGGACATGATCACCCAAGCATGCATCGCACATGCCACCCAAGGAAGGCATATTATGCTAACGATATATTTATTTGTGGTCCATTTCTATTAGATTTAAATTATACATAAAAGTCTATACTGCACTTAGTTTGTCTAATGATAAAAATACTGACATCTCTGAAGTAACATTATCAATATTTGGCAAACTTGGACCTTCATATCCACAAAAATGTATCAAAATTGATACCGCCTTTAGTTTAACTAGCATCATTCCCTCGGCAATGTTTCTTTAAAAAGTGATGATTAGAATTGTAATAAAACCTACACATATGAAAATGAATTTATACATTTTCTTTGTTCTTGAGAACTGACAACAAAAATAATAAATAATATTTATTATATTGTTTACTTACACTATTTATTATATTGCTTATTGAAATGGTTGGTAAAACATCGGCTAATTGCTTTATAAAATGATAAATAAAAATTCCTTATAGTTGGTTCACATATTTTGATTATTTAGTAAATGTTTATAAATTTATGAATAAAAATTGTTTTCATATTTATTTCTTTATAAATTTGTAAATGATAAATATTACATTGCATTAGTTCTAATTGTGTTAGTTTTTAGAATGTTGTATATATCAAATTATTATTGTACATAATCTAATAAATAAATAGTGTTTAATATTTTTGTTAAACCATTGCCAAGGAGTGAAGGTAGTTAAAATATTTGCGGTGTCAAGGGAAAAACCATCCTTTTGAAACTATGTTTTACTTCGGCCACAAAGTTCTAAGTTTTCCCGATTTTTAAAAATATGAGGATTGATATCATAAGCTGGAAATCGCACAATATAACGTGTATATAAACGTAGGTCTCTCCTGAAAATTTTATCAGCATTGTCGGAATTTGCATTTTAAAATCCATTACAGTGTACATTTGAACAAAGATAGACTGACAGATAGACAGATAGTATTATTTCAATAAAAAAATCATTGAATGATTACCAATTGAAACTGGAGTGAGAAAATATGTTGTTTTTTTTTTGTTTGTTTTTTGTTTTTTGCAGTTAACATATGGATAATCAATTACACGAATTTTCCCCAGCGTTTAACACTTAAACGGCGTTTACCATCATTTGATAATTTCGAATTTTGCCTGACTATACTGACAACATTCCTTCTTAATTTGAGACTAAATGACTAATTGGCAATCTTAGGATTCATGAGGTTACTACCGTAATTCCCCGTGTATAATACGCATTTTTTCTAAAAAATAATAAGCAAAATCAGGCGTGAGTATTATGCACAGCTACAAAAAATGTTTAAAAAAATTGCCGTGAAATAAGAATTGTCATAAAACTAAATTAGAATAATATTATTCTATGTTTAAAAACATTTTTTGTGGAAAAACTACATACAGATCCGGTAGATTGCACATTTTATCGAACAAAAACAGGTTAATGAGTCTGCGCAGTAGGCACAATTTAGGGATTTCCGTTTCCTTTTAGAATCGAGATGATAGGAAATTTTGATAAATATCTTCAATTACAGGTGAAATAAGAGTAGGAAACGCTGACCGTAATGAAACTGGAGAGCTACAATTTATAGGGTTTGATTGCGAAACAAGGCGTGCGTATTATGCATGCGTAGAAGCATTTTCCCCACACATTCAGCACAATTTTAGGGGTCCGTATTATGGATGAAGACGTACTATAAATGGGGAATTACGGTATTTACTAGGATATATTCATTCATGAAGTATTTGCCTGCAAATAAAGCTGAAAGAACAAGCCAAAACAGTGGTATGCCTACATACAGACTTCGAAAAAGAGGCGAAAAATGGTGACAACTTTGTGCAAAGAATGTACAACTCCACTGAACATGGAATGTTTCAAGCAGTACTGTTAAAATATTCAATTTACGAACCCAAAATTTGTTTTATTTTTCTTTTATTCTTTATTTTTATAATCTAAGAGAGTTCAAATTTCATTTTTATAGTTTTTGTATATAATCAAAGCGAAAATAAGCATAAAATTACCCTTTAAAAAATAAATTTTCTTCTTATTTACTCAGTTGGCATGCACTTCCTGCAAACTTTCCCTGCCGTTTAAGGGTTAAATTCAAGTCACCTAGACCTTGGACCCACAACATATACAGAAATTCCTCGATTATCCGAACACCTTGCGACAGGGGTTGAAAAAAAAATGTTCGGATAATTGAATACATAAATTATCGAAAAAGAATAAAGAAAAATATCATTTTCTGAAAGAAATTTAACATTTATATCATCAAAAAAATATTTTCATATTTTTCAACCTTTGTTCAAGGCTTTGTACAGTTTGTTTTTTTTTTTTTATTAAAAAATGTGTCCATTTTTGTCTGTTTACGCGCATCTAAGCCATAATCCCTGGCGTGACCAAACTGTTATAATTTGAATCTACGTTCTTCGTATGAATTAATTAATCAAACGTTGAGTATGGTTTTCTAAATTCTCAAAACGCTTGTCTAAAATGAAACATTAGAATGGGTTTTGTTCACTGATAACACTGTTTAAAAATCATTTTGAATTTTTGTCTTTAGCCCTTAAGTATTATTTCCTAATTACTTCTGTCTAGAAAGCAAAGGAAATTATTCTCTTGAAATTTTGCTTTTGTGATCTAGACATCGATGTTTTGAAACTAACCTATTTTCCATTACATTCCAAACAGATTCAGCGCTGAGCTGCTGAAGGAGGATTTTCTTGAACTTTCTAGAAGTTTCAAGAAAGTTCGAGAAGTTTCTAAAAAGTTTCAAGAATTCTAGAACGTTCTGGCTACCAAAGATCGTATAACGGAAACATGATGGAAGATTTATCTGCTGGGGGGCGATTCGTGAAAGTAATTTACAGTATAAGCGTAAATCGTGAAAAACTACTCATTTTTTAAATTTTTGTTATCTCTCTTGTAACATCCTAGAATAAATAAATGCTTCTTCTGAATCATGTGTCGTTTTGTTTCTATTTTGGGTGAACAAGAATGTTCATATTCGCCAGTTTTCCTAAATGGAATAGGTAAATTTCAGAAACATCATTATCCTGGTCACAAAAACTAAGTTTGAAAGAAATATCAGCCATTTTTTCATACTTTCTCGGCGTAAGCAAATAGGAATTAACAGTTGTTGCACAAGGCTAGAAATTGTGTTACCCAGTGAATCGAACAATTTTCGGATGATTTAAATCCTTCTCTTCATTCCCCCTCCAGATAATCGAATTCCGGAAAACTGAGGTACGAATAATCGAGGAAGTACTGTATATATCATTTTTTTTTTTTTTTTTGCAATTCATTCTTTGTTTTTGTTTTTTGATGATGGGCTGGGGCAGGAGTGAATTTCTTTTGACTACTCCCATAAAGAATCTTTCTCATTTCAACAGCCGAATAAAAATCGACTGATATGAAGACGAGGAAGACACCAAAAGCGAAAAGCAATTCTTTGCATGAAAATATTTCGATATTCTTCATGGATTAAAAATATTTTTTAATGAAATATTTTATGCTAATATCATTAACATCCCGAAACATATTTCCCCTGATTATGCGTATCGATTTATAAACAGAAAATCGAAATAATCCGATCAGTTACCTTCTCAGCCTGCAATACTTTTAATTTGTTAACTCATTGTGACAGAAATTCTCGTCATTTGCAGTTAAGTCACCCACCTGTAATGGCGAAATTTCCCTTCATTCGCAGTGATGCTACAGAACTGCAATAAATGAATGTCCAGTCATTTACAATTCAGCCACAGAACTGCAATGAAGGAATATCCAATCATTTGCAATTCAGCTACAGAACTTCTATGACGGAATTTCCTGTCATTCGCATTGAAGCCACAGAACCGTCATAACATAACTTCCCGTCATTCGCAGTGAAACTCCGGAACTGTTATGAAGGAATGTTCGGTCATTTGACTTGAAGCCACAGAATTACTATGACGATGTTTAACCATTGAACTGCCATGACGGAATTTGTCGTCATTCGCAGTTGATGGTTTAATTAAAATCAACATTATGTGGATGGTTAGATAACGCGATGCGCGTGTAGTGTGACTGTTAACGACTTGGAAAGAGAAACCGACGAATCGAGTTTGAATTCCGGCCGTGTATGTTACGTTCACACTCGCACAAATACCCTTGGAGAAAGATATGAAGCTATGGGTTAAATAGCATGGCTGTCTGGATTCTATTGCCTTGAGAGGGCAACTAGCCTAGGAGAAGGAAAACTCCGAATACAAAACCAGCCTGGAAAGACTATTTTGCCCCTGAACACGCTCCTGCTGCTGCTACTACGACCGCAGTACAAGTGGTGCCCCTACGACCCTCATGGGTTACTGGACTCGTCACGTGACGATATTTTTACCATTTAAAGCAACCCTAAAATTCTGAACGATTCCAATTAGGTCTTACATTCGCCGGATGAGTCACAAACACCCCTGCCCCACCCAAATAAAAAAATAATAAGGCAACATCACACCCATTATCTGACTGTCAAATTCAGAGGGTCTAATATTAATGCTTAAAAAGACGACTTAAACAATAGTTTGTGCTTTTTTTTTTGTTTTACGATTTAAATGAAAGAAGGCAGCAATCATTTGAAAATAATAAAGGTTGGTATTTTTTATTACTATTTTTTTTTTTTTAAATAAAAGACCTTTAAATAAAGATGATGCGAATGTTTTCTGTAAGACTGAATATGGATCAAAGAATTGGACACCTGATGTGAGATTTGAAACAATGAATATTCCGGTCGAAATAGTCTTTCCTGAAAAGAACTTTGATAATATTTGTATCCAAATTAAACATTTACAAGGACTTGGCTGGCCATTTGGCCGGGATCAGTCGTGTCTCGCCCGAAAACGTGACACGGCAAAAATGAAGTGAACTTGGTCCCTGGAAATTCAAACTCCGGGACAGCACCTCTTCAAAGGGAGGTTCATGGGTCGCCCCGACACATTTGCGGCACAGGCCGCGAGCAATGGGCAGTCTTTTTCCTTACACACACGTACGTGTGTGGGACCCTACATTAAACCGATCGTGTGTTGTATTTACTCGCTTGGAGAGGTAATGACTTTTTGACAACGCATAAATAGACATAATACAATGGGTACAGATATATTTTAGAAACTATCTTGGGTGGATTCAATCTACAATTCTTGACGCGTACAATTTAATTCTCGACCCGACACTTTACAAAAAGAGCTCGAGTTCTTTATTATTATTATTATTATTATTATTATTATTATTATTACTGCAGGTACACAATCTCTTCTCTGAAATTAAACCGAAAAGCTCCCCAAACCAAACTTTATTTTTCCATAGATACCGTCTACATATCAAAGCACGCGTTTGTCGACATGCATGACCCGACACGACCCATATCGATATTTATTTTCGCTGCGATTTACAAGGCTTTAAAGACCACAGCGGGTTTTATTCTTTCGACACGGTTTCGGCTCAACTCATAGCATCCAGCTGGGTCTTATTCGTCAAATGCACTTCTGTTATACAAGAATACTTTTTAGCGACAGGGAGGAGTTGTAAAATCGACTGTGTAACAATCGACTTAATTACCCCCCTTATTACTATTACTAATATTTCGAAAAATTTCGAAAAATGTTTTGACCTAAGGGGTTTCAATAACAAATTGTGTACCTGCAGTATTATTTTTGTTGTTGTTGTTGTTGTTGAAGAAGGAGGAGTAGGAGGAGGAGGAAGAAGAGGAGGAGAAATTTTTGTGTTTTTTTTGGGGGTTGATCCAATTTTTCAGGTTTTACAATGTTCTTTTTTTCGTTTGCTTTTTTTTTTCTCTCTTTTAAAAAAATCAGAAGTGGGTGACTAAAAAAAAAATGACATTATATATATATATATATATATATATATATATATATATATATATATATATATATATATATATATATATATATACACACGATATTAATTTGTTACCATTTTTTTTACATTGGTTGATTTTTTCTTCTTTGTCCCCCCACTTATAAATAGATATGAGGTAGATAAAAAAAGACGCAGACATGAGGTAGATGAGCATCATTGAGAATAACCGAGCCAGTGCCGAAGATTTCGCATTGCTAAATGGTTTTTCCCTGCCGTTGCTTGCCTGCTCACGAATAAATGTCATTCATGTAAAATGGAGTATAGTAGTAGTAGTAGTAGTATTAGTAGTATTAGTAGTAGTAGTAGTAGTAGGGAAGGAGGAGTTATAGTGGTTATAGTAAGTAATAGCAGTTATAGTAGTTGCCTTTTTTACAGTAGTAGCTGTTTTTGATGTACTGATGTAATAGTAGTAAAAGTAATCGAAGATTCTGATGCTGTGGCGATGATAACAATAATAATGTTGGTGGCGCGTATGACATTTTTTTAAGAAATACAAAAGGAATATTAAAAAGTGGCGGTAGTGAATATGTAAGTAAAGTTTTGTTTTATTATAGTTTTTTTTTTTTTCTTTTTTCTTCCTTTTTTTTAACAAAGTTTAGATCTAACATGATGACTGTCATATATATATATGTGTGTGTGTGTGTGTGTGTGTGTGTGTGTGTGTGTCACTTTTTTTTTCCCCCAGATGCAGCGATCTAATGTCTAATGTCGGGCCGCAGTACTCGGGGGACTCTTTTTTCTTTTTTTTAACCTCACATGTCAGAAACTGATTTTTTTCTTCTTTTTCTCATTTTTTATTTTTTTTATTAGATTTATTTAAATTTTTTTTTTTTTTTTTTTTGATTGAGGATTTTTCCATTACTTTTTTGTTTTGTTTTGTGTTTTTGTTTCGTTTTGTTTTAAAATAATCTGATGTGAGGTAGATTCTCCCGGCATAAGAAAGGAACCCAGTTAGGAATATCGTCACTAAATCCGACATTAGCATTTCCCGTATAAAAAAGGGCCCACTGGAATATTATTATCCATCTAATATTTCTACCATTCTGAAAAAATAAAAATAAAAAACAAGTGCTCTTTTTCTTTTCTTTTCTTTTTTTTTTTTAACCTATTTAAAATTTTATACAAACTTTTTTGTGTTGTTTCTTCTTCTTAAAAAAACTGTAAAAACATTTTAAAATCTTTCTTTTGCATCTGTGCCCAATTTAAAATTGGTGGAATCAAGTCTGGTCCACCTCCAGTTGGTGTGTCTGGGAACAACCGTAGCCTGCTCGAATCTTTGCAGGGATTTCTATTGTCTTAAGCACCCTGGCGGCGGGTGACGTCATCGTGGATATTAACAGGTTTTTGGCGTCATTCCGGCGCTACAGCAACCATTGCAGCTCCTTCTTTTTCGTTATCTTCACTGCCGCCTATATTGTTTCCATTTCTTGATCCATTTTTGCCCTTCCGGTTGGGTTCTCGAAAAGGACAATCAGCTATCAGGTGCTCTGTCGACTTGCAAAAATGGCATCTTTTTGGTAAAGGTCCGTGTGGGCATTTTTTGGCTATGTGATTTCCAAGGTCACCACAGTTGTAACACCTGAAAAGAAAGTAAAGGAAAAGAAATGGTTAAGATATTCAAATGAAATAGACGAATCTTAATGTAAATCGAATTCATTGCTTTCTCAACAGTCTACGACAGCATGTCTCTGCCGGTGCGCCCTGAAATATAGCCAGGTGCGCCCAAACAGGAGAATAATTTATTAATTATATTTATATTAAAAAAACTCTTTATTTTTAAAAAGCTAGAGACACCAAACACATGGCTTCTATTGATGCCCAAGTCATGTTTTTGTCATTTAATATTTTAAATAGAATGCTAAATTCTTTACTCTTTAAGGAGTGGATAATCTTTTCCCTTTCGCCTTCCTCAAGGGATTTAAATCAGTCATTATCGGCTACTTTATAAAATATAGCAGATTCTTCATTAACTCCTTTAAATGAAAATAGCGCTTAAATATGCAATGCAAGGTCTTAAAAATGAATGCTTTTTCAGGAGACTTATTTATTATTTTCTATATTTTCAAATTTCATTATTAATTTTTCCTTATTAAAATTTAAAGTGCGTTTTTTAGTTATTCTACTAGTGCGCCCTGAAGTTAAAAAAAAAAAAAAAGGTTGGGAAACACTGATCTACGACTTATGTTTGCTAAGTGATTGATTGATTGATTGATTGATGTGTTTTGCATTTTCTTTTCCCCCATCGCCTGAAATCTTGGCGTGTTTCTTTTTCGGAGATCTTTATCTTGCTCGTCCCATATTGCACTCAGGCAGTGACGGGTCTACTATGAAATTAATGAAGCTTAATCTTCAGGGACCCTAATCCTAGAGAGGTCGCTGAAGTAACATTTTTTAACAAAATCGGTGTTTTTTTTAGGGTGGGGTGTTTATTATTATTATTATTATTTTTAGGGTGGAATTATTATTATTATTATTATTATTATTATTATTAGGGTGGAGTGATTATTATTATTATTAGGGTGGAGTGATTATTATTATTATTATTATTATTATTAGGGTGGAGTGATTATTATTATTATTATCATTAGGGTGGAGTGATTATTATTATTATTAGGGTGGAGTGATTATTATTATTATTATTTTTATTAGGGTGGAGTGATTATTATTATTATTAGGGTGGAGTGATTATTATTATTATTATTATTATTAGGGTGGAGTGATTATTATTATTATTATTATTATTATTATTAATAGGTTGGGTGTATTATTATTATTAGGGTGGGGTGTTTATTACTATTATTATTATTATTAGGGTGGGGTGTATTATTATTATTAGGGTGGGGTGTATTATTATTATTAGGGTGGGGTGTATTATTATTATTATTGTTATTATTAGGGTGGGGTGTATTATTATTATTATTATTATTAATATTATTAGGCTGGGGTGTTTATTATTAACGGCGCTGAATGAGAAATCGAAAAGCCGAGTTCAAATTTCACTCGATTTCGTTACATTCATTTACACGCAAACTCATCTCTTCTTTCTCCAGTTATGGGTTGAACAGACTGGGTTCTATAGCCTTGGTTGGCAACTAGTCTACTGCAGAAAGAAATGGCAACCTACTACGGGAAAATCTTCTGCCAAGTCAGTCATAAATCGAAATCGCGCAAGCGTGTGTCGCGCAAGCGTGTGTCGCGCAAGCGTGTATCGCGCATGGCACTTAACTGAAGGTGTCAACAGTTATTTAGGTGAGGAAGTTGTGGAGAGATATGATCGCCCAAGCATGTATCGCGTATGACACTTAAGGCCATTTTTGTGATAGAATCACAAGCCAAAGGGTTGAAATACCTAATGTTGGCCTTAGGATAAGCTCTAATACTAGTTTCATATGGCCTCAAAATTCCCTTGTAATTGGTCAAATTTTAAAATTTTCTTTCGTCCTGGGTAAGACGATAAACTACATCCGGCAGCAAGACCTCTGGTCAGGAGGTTTTTAGGAGCGTGTAACCACCTCTTAATTGCTGGTGCTCCCAGATCCACCCTGACCCCGGGTGGTAGCACATGTCAGGGTCCCAGTTATGGGCAAAACGCGATGAAAGTGTAAAAATGGAGATAGTAAGAAATCAAGCCCACGAGTAACTGCAGAACAAAGAACGAATGTCCTTTAAACGGCAATTGCATACAGAACAATGTAATACAGTATTTGTCATGTAAATTATCCGCAACCTTTTCTTTATTGTGTTTCTTTCTGTAGAGTTATGTTTCGTTGTTGGTCTGCAAGATCATCACAGGGAGAGCCTATGAGAAAACCCTTCGTCTTTCTCTTTCTCATAATCTACTCGATGCCTTACTTATAATGCCTAGTCGCATTAGAAAATTGACCCTTTCCAAATCAGATTCCTTATTCTTTTTATACCCCAAAATTAAAAAAAAAACAAAAAAAAACAGAACATGAAAAGATTAGAATTCTAACTATGACAGATTTTGCTCGCCTCAATATTTAAAACATCGTTCAATGAACAGCCAAAGAAGAATAGATCGGCGAAAAAAAGTTATAAAACAATGGAAAAACGAGATAAAAATTTAATTTTATGAATATAGCTTAAGATTTCTCAGACTGACTCACTTCTTGGAATGAGTATTTTAATGCCAAACCATATGTAAGTATATAGGTATCATGGATATCGAACCATCTAATATTCCTACACTGATGCAGAGACAGACGATTCGTCCCTTAAGGCTTGGCACCAAGATTTCCTGTCAATTCAAGGAGATCCCCTCTTGTCGCAGAAAAACCAGGACACACACTTGTCCGAGAAAGAATCCAGTACAACCGTCGGATAAAACAAAAACTGCAATCTGATATCCGCCCCAAAGTCTCGAGGCCTTCTTCAACAGAATTACCGACGAGACCTGAAAGAGGATCCAGCCTGATCTGGATAAATCCTTCAGATACGAATTCGATGCAGTCAACGCCCGCCATTACAAAAATTTAATATATTGTAAGATCAGAAGGTGAAGCACAAGGTCCCTCAAAAGTGAAGGCAGTAATAATCGCTCTCCACAAATTACTTTTTTTACTATAAATTGCGTAAAGTCCTGCTCCCTTCTCCACAGATTAAATTCAGGGTATCAGTCAACACCAGCTGAGTGCCTCTGAGGAGTTAGTACTAAACAAAGGTCTCAACTTCGCTTCAACCATCAAGCGGATAAGATACTTAGACATCATTGCCCGAATCGAGGAAATAGCCTTCATCATCCCTCAGGTTCGGGCGGATTCTTTCTAATTACGACAGATTTAGTAGGCTCAGTGTTTAAAACATCGTTCTCTGAACAGCCAAAGGAGAATAGAACAGGTAAAAAATGTCATAAAACGTGACAAAATTTAATTTTATGAGTAAGTGTTGAAAAATTCTCGGCATGCAGAAAAATAAGAATATTGATTTAAAGAAGTGGTTCAGTAACCCTAATATAATAGACAAGTGGATATTCAGAAAACAGGCTGTCGCTTCTGGGTGCTGACTTTAATTTCCACATATTTACATATCCTCTTTCTCTGATAATGAGCATTTTAACCCATAAATATAACATACCCTGAAACTATATTTTCATATATATATATATATATATATATATATATATATATATATATATATATATATATATATACACACTTTAAAAATCAGAAGGTCAGTTAAAACCGCGGCCTTGGTTACGACCAGACGATATTTTTAAAAAATGACCACATTAACGCTTTATTAAAAAAAACACAAAGAACGCTACATAATTAAAATAATTAGGAAGCGTTGTGTGTGTGTGTGTGTGTGTGTGTGTGTGTGTGTGTGTGTGTGTGTGTGTGTGTGTGTGTGAGTGAAAATAAAGCTGAAGGTGGTCATTTTTAAAAATATCGCCCGAAGCGACCGTCAGGTCGAGGCGAAGGTCACGTATTTTCATTGACCTTTTGATTCTTAAAGTTAAAAGCTCCGCATGTTATTTTTCACGCGTGTATTGAACACTTTTAATGCTCGTCTTAACTGGTCTGATTCAACTCTGACCATTAACATTTTAAATAGATAGATAGATAGATAGATAGAACACAAACAAAAACAGTTTCTGGTTTCACTAGTTGGCTGATTTAAAATCTTACAGATACCAACAGTTCTTTATATATATATATATATATATATATATATATATATATATAAACAAACACTTTCTAGTTGTCGAATCTGATAAGATAATTTATTATCACTTTTATGATTAAAAAATCTCAACACATTTTTTTACACACAGTTTTGTATGTATTTACTCAATTCACCCTAAACAAAGAGATAATAACGAATCTAAACCACGTGTGACTGCAGAACAAAGAACAAATGCCCCTTAAATGGCAATTGCATACAGAACAATGTAATATACCAAGCCACTGTAAAATCAGCAGATAACGGAGAAAAAATATATAGGAGTAAGTGAAGAACTCTGGAAACAAAGAAACTGCGCACACAAAACATCCTTTACAAATAGTAAATACGCGAACATCACAATGCTTTCTAAACGCATTTGGGAAATTAAGAACAAAACTAAAATCACACCAAAACTATAATGAAAAATAAGAAAAACATCAACATACAACAATAAATCCAAAAAATGTAAACTGTCTGGAGGAGAAATATCTATAATTACCTTCTTAAACCAACGCAAACTACTAAATAAGCAATCAGAACTCATCTCAAAATGCAGGTACGAAAACAAATTTTTACTCCGTTACTTAAAAATCGAAAACGGAAAACGAACAAGAATAAAAAAAAAACAAATAAATAAAATTAAACGAAATAAAATAAGTAAATAAAATAAGTAAAATAAATTAATTCAAACCAATAAATAAGTAAATAAACTAAGTAAATAATAGACAAATTAACAAACCAAGAATGGACACATACACACGTAAACGTAATAATAACAACCAACATTAAAATAATCAATAATAAATTTTGAAAAAGTTAACAAACCACACTATAAATTGCTAAAAAAAAAAAACTGCATCCGGACCCACAATTATTCCCACTTGCCCCTAGAAT